ATTTTTCACCGGCCATATTTGCACAGAATAAAATGGTTAGTCTATCTTTAGACAACTTTCCACCCACACATGTTTCTCCTTTAAAGGACAGAGTTTTGTCGGGCAATGCGCGAAAAAAAAGTCCACTCTCATCTGCGTTGTACACATCTTCTGGTTTGTAGCCAAGCAACATGGACGGAAGTTTCTCCAAAAATTGTGACACATCAACTTGATCTACTGCAGCAGCTTCGCCAGATATGCATTTGAAACTCACACTATGTCTCTTGCGGCACTTTTGCAGCCACCCGTCGGACGCACTGAAATTATTATAGCCCAAAGTAGTGGCGATTTCTTTAGCTTTCATTTTCACTAACGGCCCTGAGATTGGAATGTTCTGACTTCTAGCTTTCACAAACCACTCAAAACATGTTTTGTCTATAGCAAAACCTTCCTTTTTTAAAAAATCCTTCTTTTGATTTATATTAGTTCCTGATTGCCATTTACTCCTGATATCTTCCTTATTTTTGGCAATTTCAGCTGCTTGCGTTTTCCCAATATTAAACCTCTTTGCCAAATGACGAACTGAAACACTTTCTCTGTCTAATACGTTAACAACTTCCATCTTTTCCTTTAACGAGAGCATCCTTTTTTTTGGTGCCATTTTACAGTTACAATAATAAAATACGTAACTCAATCAACTACGAATTTGCCTGAACTGAAGACAAGCCACAAGATTACATACAGGCTACCCAACGAAATGCGTAAATGGGGAATCACCTAATATAAATCGGGGAATTACCGAATTTTATGTATGTAGATATGTGCATTGCAATAAGCGGAACTAAAAAATCGTCCGGGTATTAGAGTTTCGCGTCCGCTTATGGGAGATTTTTTGATCACATACAGGAAAATCTAGTGTCCGCGTCTGTTTATAAGAGCGTCCGTTTATCGGAATGCATTTAACATTGAAAATTGATGGCTGAAATTCGGTTCCAGGAACTTTGTCCGGTTAAAAGAGATGTCCGCTTATAGGAGCTGTCCGCAAGGAGAGCTTTCACTGTATTTCCCTAATTTCGTTTATACTTGGAAGTGGTTCTTCTAAGCAAATATGTACAAGATGAGAAATAATCTCCACAAGATTATCTACAGCTTTGTGTATGTTTAGAACAAACTTCCTTAAACTTATTCCGTCTACTGGTCACTTTGGGAATCAAAGCACCCCCCGAAATTGTTTAAGCCGATGTCAGTCTCGGAGGGTGTCTGCAATTGCTACTGTGTTGTCGTCAATCAATTACAGTTTTGACAAAAAATAAAAATCGCTGGAACTTAGTTTCTTGACGTGTCAGAGGATCTTGATCACGTTTGAAAAAATTGTGGGATAAAAAAAGGGGGATGGGGATTGTAGGAAGGTGAGAACGGTGTATCTCAATTTTTCCATGTTAACATATCCAGTCCCGATAATTCTACGCACCTATTAGACATGTTCCGCACATCGTAGGTAGTGATCTGAGAGAGGTAAAAGCAGGTAGCTAACTGCTTGGTGACCCGATATGCTGATACGAGGTGGGTGCGATATATTATCTGTATATATGAGGTTACTTGATTTCGCGAGGTAGCAGCATATAGTATATAAGTACGAATCAAGAGCAATTGTCGTCAGTTTTCAAACATAGTGAATAAAAAGCTTTACACCTGAGCTCTAAAGGAAAGGGGCTTCCGTGTACGCTTATTCCTGGAACCCGAGGAAACTTTTTTCGTGAAAAGCCTAAATACTGTACTCATGTTTCTGTCAAAACCTAGATCTTAGCACTATAGAGTCAACCTACTCGAAGCCATTTTATTTCCGGGAAAATACATTTAGCATTTTCAACTATTTTAAATAATAATTGATAAATTAGGGTGAAATTGAAGATAATTATAAATACTTGACACAAAACTCAAATAACTCAAATAATCCTTATAATTGTGAATATCTAATGAATGTGATCCATTCCAACTTTCTTTGACAAGCTTCTGTTGAGAAGCAACATTTCGTCTCCGGATGGATATGTCTGTTCAACATATAGTGGTTTGGTAGAATTTCAATTAGAAATTCTAGTTTAGGACCGATGCAAGAGCCCTTCATCCCTTACCAGACGATTTGTTGTTCAGCATCTAGCACAGAGAGCCTACAAAAGGGGCCACGTCCTTGAAGACATTTGTAACCTAAAGGGCTGTGCTGTATTCCCAGAGAGCTAATCTCGTCTTTAAACTGCTATATGCATTTGTGCATCGTATTTAGTTTGTAGTAGGTGTATAGCTTAAATTCAACTTGCGGACTTATTACAGCACAAACAAGGGCACTTTGACAAGTTGATATAACTTATAGACGCTTTTAGGTATAGTATTCGTCCTCAAGTTAGTTTAATTCCTACAGATGCTATGGGGTTGGTTACCATACATTGATTTAATCTTGTCAAACTGGGCCATTATCAAGAGGGAGCTTAAGACGTATGCAAATATCAGTCTGCTATGTTGAAACTCTGTGGTTGAACTTAAACAATTTTGAATGTGAATAAATGCGGCGGGATTCACCTGAATTGGCCATGCACGGAAAATATAATAAAATGCTAGAATCCTTAATTCAAATGAATGGAGGCAATTTAATATTTTGGGTTAATGAAAAAAGGAACATGCATCATTAATCATCCGATAATGTTTGTTCCTCATTAGGCCCTGCAGGGTTAGCCTGGTGGGCCTATTTTTTTACTGCCGTTAACTTATGGAAATAGCTGTTTGTACAGGCTGTCCCAGAATATATGGCCAATCACTTGGATCTGAACAAAATAAATAATAGAAATAAGGTTAATGTAACTCCTGAAACGTATACTATGGTTTTTTTGCTGATGCGGCTTGAAGAGATCCTCTTCCTGCTTCTTCAAATCCGAAAAAAATGCTTATAGTTCAATCTTGCTTTTATTAAAATCCAACATACAAACTATCCTCCTGACGGCTACCGCCCGCCTCCTACCAAAAATTCTACCCTTTGAAATCGTAAAATCTGATGTATTTTGCATATTGTATGGTGGAGGAACCTCATAAGGCCTTATCGCTTTAAGTTTGGCTGATCTCCTCTAGACAATACAGAACTGATCACTGATCCTGAGCCGATTTTTTATTTCGTGTAACGATTATATTACAAGTAAAACTTGTAAAATTCGGTCGTATAGAAATGAGCTGTTCCTTATATGTGCTTCTTTGCGCCGCCCATCTCAAGAAGTGTATGGATGTATAGGATCTGAAGTGCGAAGTTTTAAAGCTTTCGTTTGAGGTATTGATGGAGTCATTGACACATATATTTAATTTATGTTTTTCTAAGGGTATTTTTAATAATAAATGGCATTTGTTCGTCACATGATTACAAAATAATTGGCTCAAAAGAAATATTGACGAAAAGGTGGAGTGTCAGCTTATGTTGTTTTTCAACCTGACCTAAAAAACATTGACACAAACTATAGAAAGGAAAAAAAATACATTGAAAATAAATCAAGTAATTCCTGTACACAAGAAAGGTGATACATCATGTCTAGATAATTATAGACCTATCTCTATGAATCCTATAATTGCTAAATTGTCCGAGATACTCATAAAAACACGTCTAGAGTTCTTTTTTGGGTTTCGGCGTAAATGCTCTTCTACACATGCTCTTGCAGAGGTTGTGCGAGGGTTCTGAGGAGGGTAAGCTCATGTCTTTGATGCTTTGTGATCTCTCAAAAGCCTTTGACTGCGTGTCGCATGAGATACTGCTGGAAAAGTTACAATTTTACAGTACTCGTGGACACGCTTTGAACTTTTTCCATTCTTACTTGGTAAATCGTCATCAAATAGTTTCTGTGCATGGCGAAGATTCAAATTGTAGAACAAAAGAATAAGGTGTACCGCGAGGCTGTATTTTAGGGCCTTCACTGTTTGTGGTATATTTGAATGATATCTTCCATTATTTATCACCAACAAATTGATTGTGTTTTACTGACGACACTACCTTGGCTCAATCGCATGAGGTCAAAAAAGTGCTCATTCGCAAACGCTATAGACACTAAATTCAAAGTAGAAAGATGGCTAGTAGAATGTGCATTTCTGTTGGACGCAGACATTTTGAACACCTTTTGTTAATAAAATTTTGATGATAGTCAACTGTTCAACCAAGGTCAGATGTTCTTTTCTGTTTTTACGATTGTCTTGTTCGTAACTAACAGTTTTTGGTTCTGTTCTATTTGAGCCACAATTAAGGCAGCACATCGTAGAGCTAGGTCAATGAAATGTTTATGAAGGATAGCTGATAAGGTAAGAAGGTTTTTGAGATATCTATGCATAGGAAGAACATGTTTTTTCTATTTTAAAAAAGCATTCTAAGTTGTTGCACTTTTCTGTTATGTGCGACGTCATTAATAAAATTTACAAGGTAGTATTAGTTACCTACTATCAGATTGATCTTATGATAATTAAGCCTCAAGATTTACCTAAATAATAACGAAAAAAGCAGGCATTTATCAGAATTATTTACGAAGTTGTGGCCCAAATAAGCACGAAACCTGAAAATGCTTGAAAAATCCGAACAAAATCATAACTCCTAAACTAAAAAGAATCGGACCATATACATGGGGGTAATTCGGATACCTCTCGACCTGGGGAACCTAATTTTTTTATGACGTCACTTATTTGGGCCCCCTATAATATGACGAATAAATAAATAAAATAATATAATTCTAAAGTGATAGAGTAATACCTCGAAAACACAAGTAATCAATTCTTCTTGTTTCGAAGGAATTTATACATATATGGGTGAGTGCTGCTCGCAACAGATGCCAGAAAGGGAAAGGTTAGCCTAGTTTATTTTTCACACCTTATCGTAGGTCCTTAGTCGCCGGTGTGCAATTTCAGCAGGCGTGCTTTCAACAGCCAGCGCGGTCAGCAGGATTCTAATTGAATCCAGGTCGAAATCGTGTTCCTCCATTTATCCCATTTCATTATACTTTTAACAGCTGCCCACCGCGTATTTGAACAGGTTCAAAGGTGCGCAGCAACACGGGTATATGAGATTGAGTTTCATTATAATGGTGACACGAATTTGGTCTTATGAAAGGGGAAGATGTAAGGGGTGAACTTCATATTTTTTTAGCCAAATTACTCACATATACAGGCTGGTTCATCTACATTATATTAAACAGAGATTTTGCTACGCAGTAGAACAAAACTTGAACATGGCCTGTTAGTACAAGTTAAAGGACATATTCTGCTCCAAAGCAGCTCTGCTCAGCTTTCAAAATGATCTGCTATTTAATAATAAAATAGTTCCATCCTAATCGAACCTCATCAGTCCAGTTTTTTATTCATCGACTATGTGTTCACTTTTGTTGTTTTAAAAACAATTTCAGCAACAATCTCGCCGACTTACTCCAGACGATGAAGACATAGATCTTCGAAAGCTTGAGGGTTTAAGTTATAAGAGTGTACTTTTGCAATACTTTGCCTTCTACCCAAAGAAATTGAAGGATATATATATATATATATAATAATAAAGTTTATTGCAAAAAAAAGTATAGCAGTAGTAGATGAAAGAAAATATTATACAATAAACGAATGGACCCAAAAAAGTTTCGCAGAAACTTGTGCTTGGGCAAGAGCTCATGTATAAATAACTGAACACTAAAAAAAACAAAACAAAATATATACTACTGCTCATATATATATATGTATATAAAGTTTATTAGACAAGTGCTGGTAAAATTTTTAAAAAGACACAATCGGGACGGAGACGCAATCGGGATAGAGACAATATTGAAATGAAAAGACAATATTAGGTGAATAGACAAGAACAAAAATTGGTAAAAATAAGTAATAAAATTCAATAATTCAGGAGGTAAGAATTCAGATCAGTTTGATTTATACGCTTTTTTTCATTTTGAAATTTCAATAATCTTGGGAGAGATTTCCGCTTTCAGTAGTAGTAGTTATTTTTGATATCAATCGCTTGATGAATCTTGAGCCTATGCTGGTCCAAAATCCACAGTCTTAGATGCTGTTTCATAACCTTTGTATTTTTAATATCTTTTATCTGAGGGGGATTAAGTTATATATTTTTGGTCCTAGGAAAGTGAAACTATTTTTAGGCTTTGGTATGCGTACTGAATGATCTTTGGATCTGGTGTGATGGTCATGTGGGAGGAAATTTAATAAATGCTTGTGTTTTGTAATATATGTGAACACACTCTTAAAATAGAGTTGCCTACAATCACATATCTTGGATACCTTATATATCATATCGGTTGGATAGGTGATAGTTTTGTCTACTTTCGTCTACTGTTTCGTCCAGCCAGTCCAAGCGACGCGACGGTGCGTTCCGACTAATAAAAAATGTATTCAAATAATTTGATATCTTTCCTAAAATAAATACAAGAACTCAAATTAGAATTCTTTTATTCATTTCAGTAAACACAATTATGTTTACAAGGGTCATGTGGTACATAGTAACAATTGAATGAGAGTCATAAAAATATATTATGCCGTCAAAATAAGAGGAAACAGTTAGGTAGTTGTTGCAAAGCAATAAGCAGGTGGGCTTATACGTGGATTAAGTACATTTCTTGTCTACTGTAGTAGGTAGATGGAGGCGATGCTGCTAGAAATGGATGTGTGCGATCAATAAACAAACCACAAGACTGCGTTACTAGAAAACTCTGTTGGGTATATGATGGAGTTTACTAAAAATTTGCCGCTTGTTCTTCTACAAACTTCACCAAATCGAGACGCTGTCAACCTTATCCTCCGATGAAGGCGCGACAAAATACAGTCCTGTGATTTGGTGACTTGTTCGATCTGCAAAATCTCGTCGTCAATTTTTTCAAGTTTCCCTAAAAATTTTCGCTTAGCGACCTCCAAATCAATGTAGTTAATGACAGGTTTTTGATTGAATTTGCCATAAAACTATTCATTTTCTTTGGAATTGCTATCCGAATTGTTAGTTATTTTTATATCAGCTTTTTTTGGTTTCTTTTCAAGATTCTTGCGTTTGAGTCTTTGTTCCATCTTAGCGATAAGCGAGGTTGGACTAAACTTAGAACGCAAATGTATTTAGATCACATATACTGGCCGCTGGGCATTGTGGCTCACTACAGCTGCAGCACATCTTCCACGGTGTGACCTCTTCTTGCAATAATTTATTCGCTTACCCCAATATATTTTGCTCCACACTCTTGTTGACCTCATCATGAATTAAACTCACTGCATTCGTAATTAAAATGGTCGCATATGACCCTTTATTGTCCATTATCAGCCTTGATAAAAAAAGGCACTCAAGAACAATCACACCAACAACAATTTAACAACACAATATCGACGAACAGTAACAAGGGGAGAAAAATACTAAATGATCACTTGCTGAGTACCAAAATAAGAAACGATTTACTTCTAGGTCGCTAATCGAAGTCCGACTCTATTATAAAAATTTACCTCAGCAGATGGTGCTCGTGATTGTAGGAGCCCCGTTCAGCTAAGAATAAATACCCTTTTGACTTACAAATACTCAAGCTTTCGATAGCGTATGCTGTCTATTCCAGGAGCTAAAAACAAAATTAAAAATAGTAAATAGCAAACCATGCTCAATTGATTAGAATTTAATTACTTACTCCATCAGTGAGATTGGTGCTAGTGATTGATGTTTTAAATTGTGGATCCTTTTTTAAAAACGGTATAGAAAATAATTACGTTTTAGTGATAACATATGGATGGATTGGGACAAATATTGTTGATTGAATAAAATTCCTTAAAAACTTCACAAATTCACATCTTGGGCTAACCTAGAACTATTGGTGTGGTCGAGAGGTTAGGATTTATGTGTGATGCTGGTACTATTTGCAGGTAGTTGTGGTGAGGACTAATTCTCTTTGTATAGTCTGTTACCAACCTAAAGCAGAACGTGTGCAATACTTTCTTAAGAGGAGCGTTAGTTTAAGTGCAAAACGTGATAGAAAAATTTCAGATTGTCTTTGAAATATTTTTTCTTTTATTTCCTAACTATATTGGAGATGTAAATTAATATAGTTAGGAAAAAATCAATCTGAAATGTCTTTTCTAGACAATCACCATTAATCGTATATACAGGGTGGCCAAACACGTGACGTCATAAAAAAAAATTAGATTCTCCACATCGAGAGGAACCCAAATCACTCCCATATATATGGTCCGATTTTGTTTAGTTTAGGAGTTATGATTTTTTTTCGGATTTTTTGAGAATTTTTGAGTTCTGTGCTTATTTTTACCATAACTTCGTTAATAATCGTGATAAATGCCTGCTTTTTTCACGATTATGTAGCTAAGACCTAAGGCTTAACTATCATATAATCATTCAAGTCATGTAACTAATACTACTTTTTAATTTTTTTCAAAGTCTTCGAACATAACAAAAAAGTAAAAAAGTGCAACAACTTTGAACGTTTATAAAAAATTGAAAAAACATGTTCTTACTATTCGTAAGTATCTTAAAAACTTCCTTACGGTATCAGCTATTTACCGTAAAAATTTCATCAACCTAGCTTTACTACATGCTACCGTAATTGTGGCTCAAATAGAACCGAACCCAAAATTGGATAACCCTCTGCTCAATAGAAATTGTTAGTTTCGGAAAAAAAATTTGCAAAAACCACAAAAACACGTTTGATTTTTACTGAACAGCAGATTATTATTCGTTTATGTTATTTACAAGAGGTTTTCAAAATGTCTGCCTCTAACAGAAATGCACAGTGTACACCTACGTATGAAATTTTGTTTTAAATCTCTAAATGCTTGTGTGTTGTTTTTCAATACATGTGTCGCTTATTGAATTTTGTTCCTCAATGAATTTTCATTTGCACATTCTTGGGCGAATGTTATGTCTTTAAAATATCCCCAAACAAAAAATCAATGGGGTTGAGGTCAGGGGAGCGTGGAGGCCATCGTATCGGTCCGTTTCGTCCGATCCATCTGTCTGGGAACCTTTCGTTTAAGTAGTTTCGCACGATCGTTGCGTTGTGGCATGGTGCACCATCATTCTGGAACACCATGTTCCGTCTGGCTTCCAGGCTTGAACCTTCCAGCAATAATGGTAGGCTATTTTCAAGGAAGCTTTTGTAGGCTACCGAATCCAACCTTGACGGCAGTTCAAATGGACCGATAAATTCCATATTGAATATTCCTGACCACATGTTCACACTAAAACGGTGTTGAAATGTCGACGGCCTTGACTGGTGGGGGTTTTCAACAGCCCAAGTATGTAAATTATGGATATTGAATATCCCTGTTCTTTCAAAACGTGACTCGTCAGTCCATAAAATTTTATCAAAAAAATCGGGATCCTCTCGTTGTCTTCGCAGCATTGTCTCGCAGAAATCTACTCTTAACTGGTAATCTGAAGGCATCAACGCTTGAACTCTTTGAACATGATAGGCATGATAACCTTCTTCATGAAGAATATTTTGTATCGATGTTCGTGGTATTCTAAGGTTTTGTGCCATAGATCTCGTACTCGTTGAGGGATTCCGGCTAATTTCTTCAAGTACTACTTCTCTGCGATTCGGATCAGCTGTAGGATATCCTTCATTGCTTCCTCGTCCTGGAATGCGGCCTGCCATGAAAGTGTTATGTGTGTTAATAAAAACACGGTGGTCTGGGTAATGCTCAGGTTGTGGTCCGCCTCGGCGCATAAGTTGTTCCCGGTACAGCTGAGCTGCTAAAGCGCCGTTCCTTGAGCAACGCCATAATAATAATGCATTTCTGCATATTCACGCAACGTATAATGCATCACAAACTTCTTAGCAAACAAAGTCCAAATCAGTATGCAAAGCAGAGTCCCGGAATATCCAATTTTTTAGAGCACGAGGTTTCGGCTGATATGGCCTCTTATTTCGTCTGCAGGTGACTTAGCCTTTCGGGGTTATTTATACCAGAACAGCTGACGTGTCCTGTGCCGTAGATGACGTGGCTGGTCGGTGGTGATGACGTGTCCTCTGTTGGTTGGCCTAACCAGATATTTTAAAGACATAACATTCGCCCAAGAATGTGCAAATGAAAATTCATTGAGGAACAAAATTCAAGAAGCGACACATGTGTTGAAAAACAACACAAGCATTTAGAGATTTAAAACAAAATTTCATACGTAGGTGTACACTGTGCATTTCTGTTAGAGGCAGACATTTTGAAAACCTCTTGTAAATAACATAAATGAATAATAATCTGCTGTTCAGTAAAAATCAAACGTGTTTTTGTGGTTTTTGCAAATTTTTTTTCCGAAACTAACAATTTCTATTGAGCAGAGGGTTATCCAATTTTGGGTTCGGTTCTATTTGAGCCACAATTACGGTAGCATGTAGTAAAGCTAGGTTGATGAAATTTTTACGGTAAATAGCTGATACCGTAAGGAAGTTTTTAAGATACTTACGAATAGTAAGAACATGTTTTTTCAATTTTTTATAAACGTTCAAAGTTGTTGCACTTTTTTACTTTTTTGTTATGTTCGAAGACTTTGAAAAAAATTAAAAAGTAGTATTAGTTACATGACTTGAATGATTATATGATAGTTAAGCCTTAGGTCTTAGCTACATAATCGTGAAAAAAGCAGGCATTTATCACAATTATTAACGAAGTTATGGTAAAAATAAACACAGAACTCAAAAATTCTCGAAAAATCCGAAAAAAAATCATAACTCCTAAACTAAACAAAATCGGACCATATATATGGGGTTGATTTGGGTTCCTCTCGATGTGGGGAATCTAATTTTTTTTTTATGACGTCACGTGTTTGGCCACCCTGTATATAGGTATATGTAGGGTGTTTTCAAGGCACTTTTTAACTGCTTGTAGAACTCATCAAACGAAGTTGATGTACCAAAAATTAGCTATATACAAGTTGCATAATAAGAGAGATAGCTAACATTATTAAAAATTCTTTAAAGAAAATTAATTATCAAGTTTCCATCCACTGGCCGGCACGTGTTGGATAATGTGGAGGTTATCAGTGAAAAAAAAAAAGATGAAATCTCGAAGGAATTTTTAATAGCTGATGGTTTTAAAATCTCCAAATTTCTTCCAAAATCAATCAACGTTTAACTAAAAAAACCTTTCAAAATGATTTTTCATTTAATAATAAAATAATTCCGTCCTAATCGAACCTCATCAGTCCAGTTTTTTATTCGTCGACTATGTGTTCCCTTCTCTGTTGTTTAAAAACAATTTCAGCAACAATCTCGCCGACTTACTCCAGACGATGAAGACATAGATCTTCGAAAGCTTGAGAGTTTAAGTTATAAGAGTGTGCTTTTGCAATAGTTTACCTTCTACCCATAGAAATTAAAGGATATATATATATATATATATCTACTAAGCAAATTATAGGTACAGATATATATATATATATATAGAAACAGATATATATATATATATATATATATATATATATATATATATATATATATATATATATATATACTTTGCTTAGTTCATATCTATTTTATGTCCATTGGATTCTTTTGTCACTATTACGATACCCGAGTATATTCTAATACCCTGCGATGAGTCTTAAAGGAATAAAAGCTGTCTATCTCTCTCTCTCTCTCTCTCTATTCATCCATACTCGTACAATAAATATTCACTACTATATAATTTTGATCCATATATCAAAATTGTAACGTAATGCCTCAAATTTCAGAGCACATTTGTATAAATCGATTCAAAATAAAGAATAATTATATAACACTTCATGGGGTTTTGGTAATTCGTTGCTTAGTTACAAGGTGTTTTGCCTAGAAAAAAAAGGTCAACCTTATTCAATAGTTCTTTCCCAAAAATTTTTGCATTTTTAGATTCATCTTTTGATGAGCTTTTTTTGGTATAAGTGTCGACTAAATTGAATTATTGAGTTTTTAGTAAAGCAACACATCAAAATTAACAAAAACATCGCACCATCCATGGAAACAAAAGACAAACAGTAGGCTAGTTTCGTATTACTCCTGAGGTTACACATTTTACGTGAAAACAGTCCGAACTGGTATACAGTTCCAACCGACAGCTGACTTTATTCACTTTTGTAGTGGTTCATTCTTGCGATAGATGGCACTTTATTCTGTTTTATTTCGATACAACATAACTGCATGGACTTTTTATCCCTCAGGTCAAATGCCTTTTGAACTTTAAACAAAAAAAAAACGACGATTCTCCGGGAAATGAAAAGATTTAATAAGGACCATCGAGTCAAGAACTCTAAAAATGTTAAACTCGTAGACGTTGGCGTATACAGCGAAATCCCCACTTGCATAAAACAAAAGAACAGTAGCCCTCAAGTCACATTCGTAATGGTGGTATTGTGTTAAACTTTGTTGTATAAGAAAAATGGGCTAGAAAACTAGCAGACGGTATGAATAACAGAATTATGCTTTTTAGGGGAAGTAGAGACTTATGTATGCGAGCAGAGACATTGAAGGAGGCGTCTCCAAAGCGTAGGGTAAAAATTCCATTTGCTATTTTCTGAACTGTTTCAAATATATTCTGTTCTTTGATGATACTTGGAAAACTGATCGGAGATGTACGGAGAACTGTCTCGACACTGTCAACGCTTTACCAGAAATAACTGTACTGTCTTTTCCCATCCAGTCAGCATGTTGAAATGTAATTGTAGTCAGTTCAATAAACACGGGTTGAGCATTTCACGATGTGAAAAAATAAATGTATTGGTACGGGGGTCATGCAATTTATTGTTTTGAAGCTGGTAGTCTACAACCCCAGAGTATGAATTCCGCTATCATTCAAAATGGCAAACTGGTAGGTTGCCAAAGTTGAGAATGTTTGTACGTTGATGGGGTAATACAACGATAATAATAATAATAATAATAATAATAGTAATAATAATAATAATAATAATAGTAATAATAATAATAATAATAATCCAACAGCAACAGAAATACTGTATCACCTTAAACAAAAACTCAAGGCTATGGCTAAAAAACTCCGACGGTATAAGGAAAGCAACACAAGACGTCAACACAATAGTCAGTTTAGCAGGAGTGAAAGGACCTTTTATAAAAATTTAGAGTCTGAAGATCACGAGATTGAAACCCTGCAAGAAAATAAGGTCCCCACACCAGAGGCCATCAAAACGTTTTGGGAATCAACCTGGGGAAACCGTGTGATTCACAACAATACCAGATGGCTGTCTGACGAGAAGAGGTCTACATCTAACCTACAGACAATGTTGGAATGGGAAGTAATAACCGACCAAGTAACCAAGGCTATAAACAAGACCTTGAATTGGAAGGCACCTGGACATGATAAAATCCAAAATTTCTGGTATAAACAATTCAAGGTCATTCATCAACATCTAGCCAAATGTTATACTCACCTGCTGTCCAACCCTGAAGAACTACCACCATTCATGACCAGTGGTATCACTTATTTGTTACCAAAAACGAAGGTGTCCTCAGAAGATCCATCCAAATATAGGCCGATCACCTGTCTCAGTGGAAAACCAGAATTGTCTCAAACACCAATCAAAAAAGTGTAGATGCAGGTACCATTAAAATAGAAAATGGAATATTCCAAGGGGACGCATTAAGTCCGCTATGGTTCTGACTGTCGCTGCGACCCCTGACAACTATGTTGAATAGGCAGCGCAAAGATTATATACTGCCACACTCAGACAAGAATATTAGCCACCTTTGGTACATGGATGATTTAAAGCTGTATGCAAAGTCTAAAAAACACCTTGACGACCTTCTGACTTGTGTCACCCGATTCAGTCGCGACATAAAAATGTCATTTGGGCTGGACAAATGCAGGACCAGCGGGATGGAGAAGTGCCAGTGGTTACATCACGCGGGATATGAAGTTGCTGAGCGGCAAACCATCCCCGGAATGGAAGAGGGAGAAAGGTACAAATATCTTGGATATCTGCAAGCAAGAGGTCTAGATCATACAGCAGCAAAGCAGACAGTAAGTGACACCTACATTAAAAGAATCCGGTCGATACTGAAGACTAAACTGTCTGCCAGGAACATGCAAAAAGCAGTTAACACCTATGCCACATCTGCAGTTTCATATAGCTTTGGAGTGATTCACTGGACAGAAACAGAACTCAAAAACCTCAATATCAAAACCAGAAAAGAGTTCAGCAAATTTCGAGCACATCATCCACGTTCATCATTGGAAAGGTTCCACTTGCCTAGAAAGTTGGGTGGAAGAGGTATACCTGATCTAGTTATTAACCACAACAGGCAAGTAACAAACCTTAGGAACTACTTCCTCGCCAGAGCTGCGTCCAGTGAGATTCACCACGCTATCATAAGGGCGGACAATAAGGCTACTTCTTTAAGACTGGCAGACCAAAACTTCAGCCTTAGCGTGGACCAGCTCATACCCGAGCAACAACTGCAACAATGGAAGAGTAAGGCACTTCATGGTAAATACCGCACCCTACTCGAGAGCGATAAGATCGATACCTTCGCATCCACGGCCTACCTCCGCTCTGGAAACCTGTTTGCTGAGACAGAAGGGTTCATATCTGCTATCCAAGAGCAGGTCATCGCAACTAAAGTATATAAAAGAAACATAATGCGGGAACGACAAGACAATATCAGATGCCGTGTGTGCGGTGAAAAGGATGAATACCTGGACCACATCATCGCTGGCTGCTCAATGTTGGCACCAAAATCCTACCTAGACAGGCACAACAGAGTCGGAAAGATAATCCACCAAAGCCTTCGTGAAAAGTACATGGGATTGACAGAAATAGTGCCGTACTATTTATACGAGCCGCCTGCTGTGTGCGAAGATGAACAAACCCGGCTCTACTGGAATAGAAAAATTATAACTGATAGACCGATAAGTAATAATATACCGGATATCGTGCTCACTCTAAAAAATGAAAACAAAACATACATAGTAGATTTCGCTGTGCCATTTGGAGCCAACCTAGAAAAGACACATGGAGAAAAGATCAATAAATACCTACCCCTGAGCGATGAAATCCGCCAAATGTGGGACATGGAAACATCATCCCCATTGTGATCGGAGTAACTGGAGAAATACCTAAAAAATTAAAAACATCACTGCAACAACTAGGATTACCGTTTGAATTATACTTGCCCATGCAAAAGTCGGTCGTGTTGGACACATGCAGTGTAGTCCGTAGAGTTTTAGGCGGCAACTAGAACAAGATGTTTCTAACATCATCCTCGAACGGACCATCTTGTTTCAAAACCGATGTGCCAGCGTTCTTAACCCAGGGAAGTCTGTGAATCAGTTAGATGATTAATGAATAATAATAATTTATAATAATAATAATAATATAAGTTTATTCCCGTATCAAGTATTACAGTTTATTGAAAATAAACATGCATGTATACGCAAATAAACTGAAATAACCCCACAGAAGAATTTAATTCTTGTGCATGGGAAAACATTGTTCAGAACAATTTTCGCTTTAAACATATATAGTTAACTATAGGTAATACATAAATATGCAAAAACTAATTTATTTTTATTTTAGTGAGTTTTTCTATTTCATGTCGATTATTACTTAAAAGGAATTTTGTTATTTCAATTTTGAATCTATTTTTATTCGCATTTTATATGGCTTGGTAAAAAGTTGTAAAATCTAGTGGAGAGGTAACTGAAGCATCTTTGACCTACATTTTTTGGTGTTCTTTTAATATCCTCGACTTTACTTCTTGTTTCATATTAGTGGTCCAATAAAATAAGGTTTGCTTTATTTTTGAATAAATTGATCAAAACATTGTAAAAAAAGAGTTGCCTAAGATCGAGTAGTCTCGCTTCGGAATATAACATATCAGATGGATATAGAATTGGTTTCCTTATTTTGATGTACCGAGGGTACCCGCTTTCTTTACTTTATGTCAAGTGGCTAGAGAGATACGAGGCTGAGATGCTCTGGCAAAAACAGGCAGATATGATGTTTATAGAAACTACTTCGACAATAGAATTATTTGAAACGGTATGATTGATTTGATTTTTTTATCATTCTAGTTGACTAGAGGTCAAACATGTCCAGACTAATTGGTACTTGATGGCAAACTATATTTTTATTCTACCAAATGGCTTCAGTGATATTAATTTGTACAACCGATGAACTGTATTTTTTATTTTAATGCAAATACTCAGGAGTAGTGGAAAAGGAATAAAATATATTCTCAAATCTCATTTCAGCATCAGCGTCTTTTAGATGTGAATTATCTAGGGATGCACTGACCATTACGGGACTTCGCAACAGATGGAGAAGAAGAGATGAATTCGCTACTTCACTCGTGGTTAGCATATAAAAAGCTAATTCAGAACTTTTTTAATTAACCTAACGTAACAAAACTACTTGACTACTAATATCTAATACTTGACTTGAGCTTGATTTGATTTCAAGTAAAGTCAAGTAGCATAAAAGTCAAGGGAAGCGGCAACATACATTATATGGATCCGCTTCGTCTGGAAGGACCTATCCAAATAACCTATAAAATACAGGATATTCTACTGAAATAATAGAACTATAAGAATGTCAACGCTTTGTCAGTTTTCTTTTTTTTACTACAGTTTTTCTACTGTTCACATTTATACCTTTTAGGTACTGTAATCGATAGCTACGCTTCAACACAAAAATTATCGTTATCAGAATAAAAGCGTTTTAGATATTCTGCGTTTCAACGATTCCTATGAAAGTCGATCTCACAATCACTGTTCGTAGTTGGAGAATAAATTGTTTGCGAGTTGTTGGCTGCAAAAGTCAAGAGAACGGGAAAATAACTACAGCTTCACGTCCGAGTTATAAAGAGGCCAGCGGTGTATTTACTGTCTCCAAAAGTTTCCGCTTCTGCAATAATTGCAAGAGTAAAGTTTCCGGAGCCTGGAAAATCATTCCCAGCCACTTTCATCCGCAGGTATAGTTGAAGAGAGTTCTTCTGGACCACACGCAATGTGGAAAATCATTCTCTCATTTTAGATATAAGTCATATTGCAATTTGTATACACCGCTGTCTTTTTGCAGGGTGGTCTGAAGCCCTAAGCTTGTAAATGTAATGATTTGAAGCTCGTTAACTAGATACAGGGATATCGTCGATAGTGGTCTGAATGCACCCTCAAGGTACTATTCTAGGACCTGTGCTATTCAGTCTATACTTGAATGACCCTGAATACTGTTCCTCTGAAGGTAGATGTATTTTATATGCAGATTATACTTCAGTGGTGATATAATAAGTCTGAGGCGACTTTACAGAGAGATTGTGGGGTTTTACTGCAAAAAACAAGTGGTTTAGCAGCAATCATCTTGAAGTATAAAAAATATCAGTTATCAGATTTCATAAGATACAGAAGAAATCAATGGCTTCAACACTTTAAATGGTCCAAGAATGTTACTTTATACAGCACAGCTAGTTTCGGTTTACTATGTTGAGAAGTTGAGACAGTACTGAGGTATGTCCTATGCTTTTGTGATTTGTCCACAAA